GTTTATGAGTCATGCAATTAAAAATTATTCTATAAAACTTACAATTAATTTATATAAATACTTACATCACCGAAACTGCTTATAGATAACTCAATGATATTCCCAGCAGTAAGTTTAATTGATGAATTAGACATCGCAACCATTAATACAATAGCCAGAGCTTTCCTTCCTGGTAGACGATGCCAATCGATCATGTATGATGTTTCACTAACCCTCTTGCACTATGTACAGGATTGATTTATTAATTTATTAAATGTATCAATGTTGAATCATGCCAATGATTCAACATTGATTTATTTCGTTTGAGCCTGAAGAAATTGATTAATTTTATTAAATGTATTACACATATGTATTTTGCGTTAGAAGCAGAAAAAATTTTTGTTTTAATTTTTGAAGGTATGAAATCATACCTGCTCGGCAACAAGTTCACCTATGTAACAAAATACGAAAAGATTGAAGACAAAATTCATAAGCAGAATAATATATGTTATTGCAAAGCCGCCCTCCCATTCCTGCAATTAAAATTTTCTATTTTCGGAAACATATTTTGCGTACATCGATATTCTAATATTATTGCAGAAGAATGAGTTTTGCCACATATTTTGTACGATGTGCCTACCATAATTGTGTAATATCCAAGAAAACATATGTTAAACGTACATCCTACAACTTCCACTAGAGATACCTGGTGCAATACTTTTTCTGTTAACTTTATAAAACTGCAAAATAATACACGTGTAATTGGAAATACAATAATTAATTAATCATAAAATTACATATAAGAAAACAATGTATAATTTTTATGATCATTTTTGTGCGAGTGATTTTATCAATAAACTTTTCTTGTTTCTAAAAAATTTTGTTACATTCGTAATGATAGTGTTATAGCGAAAAAAAAGCATGAGATGAATAATAGTTTAACACAATATTCTTCAAATGTTATTACGGGAAATTAAAAATAAAAATGGAATGAGAATTTTGAATGTGCAACACGTAAAAGAAAATAATTGTTATTTTCTGAATAGCGGACTTACTATAAAATTCGCACATGTTCTTGCATAATTATGGCCAGCCGCTCGTCCACGTTATTAGAAAAATCTTCTCTCCCGTCCACTAAATGCATAATCCACTGCATGAGAACCTCCAGACGGCCGTAAGCGTGTACTGCCAAAACGGCAGTCAAACTACAGGTAGCGGCCGCAACAGTTTGCGAAATGATACCTGATGCAAATTGAGTCCAAAAGAAAATCTCATTAATTGGACTGTGACGCGTGTCGACGATCATCCTGGCGACCGGATACACCAGTGGCTGATACGTCAGATTACTCTCTGTAATCTTGCCCATGCCAATCGGCATGGCGATAAGAAAGAATGTGGCACCGCTGTATGTTAAGAACGCGTTGATCATTACAAGACGACGGCTGAATTTCGCGTTTCTAGTCATAATCACGCGATCACTATGATACCACGTATTCCTCCAATCGATCTTGATATGCTCGATACATACACGGATATCTCTCCCATGAAGGGCCAGCGAGCAGTACTTCATGGTAACCATCAGGCCAAAGGACAATGGTCCGGCGAATTTTAAGATATTGTATACATCTTGAACTTCGAGTACGACGTAGAAGAGACATGGGATGTAGAGAAAAGTCATTATACCAAGATAAATTATATTCATTAACACGCGCACATATTTCTTTATCGATGAAGAGGATTTGAGTGAATTGGGCCAAATGCCAAGTGACTTCAGTAACCAACGGATCTGTTTAATACTTATCTGCGCGTATTTCTCGTGATCATAAACGATCGCTACCGGATTTGATTTCTGAGTAAAGGATGATTTTCGCATCGTTAAAGCACCGAAGCTCAGATAGTACTGAAAGGAAACCGAAAGTCGAGGATGTGTAGTCACGTTAAGCGCTTGCGCGCTCAACTTCCTAGGAAAAAGCGATCAATCACGTCATGAAGTTAAAGGGTGCATTTTATAGTCATATTGACAATGAAGCGTAAGAGAGGATTTTTTTCTTCCTCTTTCTGATATATTGGTCACTTTCGTGAGTTATGTGTTCTCAAGCAGTGGATTGTGCATTTAATGGACGAGAGAGAAGATTTTTCTAATAACGTGGACGAATAATTGTGCAAGAACATGTTCGAATTTTGTACTAAGTCCGTTATTCAGAAAATAACAATTATCTTCTTTTACACGTGTTGCATATTCAAAATTCTCATTACATTTTTATTTTTAATTTCCCGTAAGATGTATTCTCTTCCATGAGTATGTTTTGCGAGAGTAATCGGTAAGGACCATGATTCTCATTCTCCTTTTATAAATTCTTGTTTGAAATAAAAATATTGCATATGTACTAAATTATATATACATATACATATATATAAAATTATATAATTACAATATATATTTTAAATGAATCAATATTTTGGAATAAAATGATACTTTGAAATTCATTAGAGAATTTAATTGTAAATAGTGTGACAAAAAAGTTACAAAAATAAGACATGAATGAAGTATCACATTTTAGAATTAGTGTCAAAGTTCATGCACCACCTTTTATTTATTAAATCTGTGTTTATTTCTTATTCTTATTCTTTAATATCAAATAATACTTTCTTTAATACTAAATCATATAATTTTTATATATCAAATATATAATATTTTTCTCTTTCACAGATTCGAAAATCCTTGTCCAGGATTAAAGGATACGCATTAATACGTGTCTAAAAAGTGGAGTCTGTGCGGAGAACGATCAAAAATTTCGAAATTAATGTATTTTTTATCATTTTTTAATGTAACAAGGCGTCTGAAGCTATCGTGACAACATTTGCTTGATACGAAAGTTTTACAATCTGTACCTATGAAATAGTAATTCACAAATACACACACACACACACACACACACACACACACACACACACATACACACACACGAAGTTTGCACGAACAAATAACATAGAGTTCTTAAAATTAGACTTAAACGCTTTATCGCGATAATTTGTTATACGAAAATTGATACGAATATGCGACTACGTGTATTATATTGCGTGAGATATTGGTGTAGTAGTATATAAAGACATGTCTTTATGCTGGAAAAACAGCGATCTCTGATGACTTCTCCTTAATGGGATCCTAAAGCCGTCTGTATTACCGACTTAATTACATAATTTTTTGTATAACAAATACTTTTTTCTTTTTCACAGTTTCGAAAAATCCTTTTTCAAGATTAAAGTATATGCATTAATATGTGTGAGGTGAAGTTTATATCAAGAACGAAAAAAAATTTTTCTTAAGATTTCAATTTCGAAATTTTATCATTCTCGGAATAAATTTCCATCTTACATACACGTATTAATATGTATACTTTAATTGTGGAAAAGGATTTTCAAATCTGTAAAAAAGGAAAAAAGTAAATGTTATACAAATATACGACTTTAATATTGGAAAATCTTTTTTGTTAGGCCTTCAATCACAATTTTGCAAACTTAGGATTGTTTGTGCATGTCATACGCTTCTGGGGAAGATATCATTTGGTACATATGACCTACAGAATTTCTGCACTAAGGGAATTTTTATCTGAGGTGACAGCTGTGAGAGCTGAAATAAATTAAAGCTTTAATTTTTTTCCTGATTTTTTTCGTCAAATTTAGTGAGATCGGTGTTTATTTTGTGCGTACTTTTATTGTATAAAAGGATTTGGTGATCTAAATCTAATTCGAAGAAATTGATAACCTGCAATTCGGTAATTCCTGTTGGTTTAGAATTCTCTCAAACGATTGCTGTCTTCCTTTAGCGTCTCATCATGTCTTAATGCTCTCTCCTCGCGATCTCTTCCATTCGCCAATCAATACTCATATGTTCAATAAATTTACGTATCCCCTTTTAACACAAAAATACGAGCAATAATGTATCCTATCCCAGTCACTTGTAGGCTTCACGGCCTACAGTTTTAAACAGACATCCTTTTATTCGATAAGAATGTATCGTATAGAGAGTATCACAGTGAGAATTATCAAGGAGTAACTCGTTAATTTCAGAATTTTCAACAAAATTTTGATCATCAAATTCTAAACATCTATTGGTTTTAGGATCCAACAATTAGTTGAAGGCTGTAAATTATTATTTTACCTGTAAATATCTATTTTGGACGAGTACAAGAACACATTGTACTATATCCGGTGCATGAGCGCGTCAATCAGTAGTCTTTACTACTGTCCATAGTAAGTCAAGTAGCTACGGCAGCACATGTGCGAACATATGACTTATTCCTGAGAGAAAGTATGTTGCTGTGTCGGCTGACTGTGCACAATCGATATTTACATAACTTGTTGCATATAAAGTTCAATATAATGTGTAAGAAAGATAGGAAATGACTGAATAAGTGGTGTCAGTTATAAGTCGCGTTACGTGAAAACATGTTGAATTTTTCATTTGTGAAATATAGTTCCATACATTAGAAGATATATCTTTTGTTCTATATACTGGCACATTGTATGTTTTACTTGAATTTTTGCTTTAAATATCTCTACTAAAAACTGTATATTATCTGATATATTCTTGAGACAAAATATAAGTAAAATACAAATAATTATATGCTTCAAATTATTAATAAAAAATTAATATTATGATTATTAATAGAATATTAAAAATAAAAAAAATAAGGAAATAAAAACGATTTTGTTAAGTGAATTTCGGCTAACATTTATATTTAAAATTATAAATATATATTTATAAATATACATTTAAATTTGAATTTATAAATATGTAAAATATGTAAAATACATTATATTATATAATTTATATGTAGGAAATAATTTATCATCATCATCATATTTCTTATTTTTTATTTTAATGAATTTATTGTTTTATTCTAATTATTATTTCTTTTTCTACATTATATATTGCTAGTTTGATATTATTATTTATTTTGCAACAAATGCAATTTATATCAGTCATCAGTATTATAATTTAATATCATGAAAAATTTTTAAGTAGTTAGTGTACGTAACATATTTAAATAGCCAACTGATGTTTTAATCACCTGTTTAATAAATGTTTATATGAGTTATGTAATTAAGAATTTATTCTATAAAACTTACAATTAATTTATCAGTACTTACATCACCAAAACTGCTCATAGATAACTCAATGATATTCCCAGCAGTAAGTTTAACTGATGAATTGGACATCGCAATCATTAATATAATAGCCAGAGCTTTCCTTCCTGGTAGATGATGCCAATCGATCATGTATGATATTTCACTAACCCTCTTGCACTATGTACAGGATTGATTTATTAATTTATTAAATGTATCAATGTTGAATCATGTCAATGATCCAATGATTCAACATTGATTTATTTTGTTTGAGCCTGAAGAAATTTATTAATTTTATTAAATGTATTACACATATGTATTTTGCGTTAGCAGCAGACAAAATTTTTATTTTAATTTTTGGCGGTACGAAATCGTACCTGCTCGGCAACAAGTTCACCTATATAACAAAATACGAAAAGATTGAAGGTGAAATTCATGAGCAGAACAATATATGTTAGATATATTGCAAAGTCGTTATCCCATTCCTATAATTAAGATATTTTATTTTCGGAAACATATTTTGCATACATCAACCATATTCTAATATTATTGTAGAATAGTGAATTTTTTCATACATTTTGTACGATGTGCCTACCATAATTATGTAATATCCAGTGAAACATATGTTCAACGTACATCCTACAACTTCCACAAGAGATACTTGGCGTAATACTTTTTCTGTTAACTTAATAAAACTGCAAAATAATTCACATATAGTTGAAAATATAACAATCAATTAATCATAAAATTACAAATAAGAAAACAGTATATAATTTTTATGATTATTTTTGTGTGAGTGATTTTATCAATAAACTTTTCTTGTTTTTAAAAAAATGTTATTCCAATCGTAATGATAGTAAATCTATAAAAGAACGATCTATAATCGAGCCCATTGAGATTAATAACAGTATATCATAAATTTATTAAATGAAGAACATTAAGTAATGACATAAAATTATACGTTTCGGAATACACAGGTCCTTCTTCATCAATGATTAAACAAAGAATCGATATCAAAAGATTAACATTATGTATGGTTCATTATCATGGTACATTTCAAATAGTTGCAACGGAAAAGATATATCCTTAAGTCTTGAACTCCTGTTTTATAATGTGAGTGCAAAAATTGATGAAATCATTTTGGATAATATTCAGTCAAAATTGATGTCCAGATATATTACCTAAATTGTATTATATAAAATAATGATATAATAATGTACATCGTATAATTAAAATATTATCAATAAATAATTGAAATAAAATTAAGATTTATATAAAGGAGTCAAATAGAATTATGTCATTATTAAATTGATCAAATTGTCATTGTCAAACGTTAAAACAAGATTAATTGGAACAGAAAAGATTAAGACTTACATATAAACCAGGAGATCAATCACAATAAAAACGTCTAAATCGGTTAAATGTTACAATGATTAATTATAAACAATAAGAGATTGAGACCTATTTATTTTCGTTAGACGTATTTTAATAAATTATTGTAAGACGTGTCTAGATACTCTGTGTCTTTTTGTGAGTTAATGCCATTTCCCTTTTTTTTTATATGTGACATCTCCGAGATCATCCGTTTTTATAATTGATTTCTGTATTTAAAATGGATATATATCTTCCCAATCAAATTTATGATTGTGATTTAATATGTGCTCAGTAACAACAGAATATCTACAGAAGAGTCCCACTTTATGCTCATGCATTACGCGTCTAATCTTCAATTGTCTCTTCGTCTGCCCCACGTAAAACGCAGAGCAATCCTCACAATTGATCTTGTAAACTACATTTCGATTCTGAAATTTGTCTAATTTATTTTTTTTAACACTAATAAATGAGCTTAATTTATTTAATTAACTATGTCCAATCGTGAATATTACCCTGTTGAAAAATGAAGTGACAGAATTAGAGACTTTGGGTATATATGATACCACAAAAAGTTTTTTGACATTATTATTTTTAGTGTTCGAGACTGAATCGTTATTATTTTGTGAAAAATTGTAATTGAATTTGTTATGTATTACTTTTTTGATCCTTTTGTTGATGTGGTTGAAAATCAACGCCAAAGGATAACAATTGTTTAAAAGAATGTTGATTACTAATTCAAAATTCTTTTGATGAAAAATAGGGTGTAAGAGAAGGATTGTTCTATCGACGATGTTGTAGATGGAACCAATTTTATGGAAAATGGGATGATTTGATAGGAAGGATAAATATCTGCCTGAAAAAGTTTTTTTGTGATACCAATCAATAATTTTATTTTTTTCGCGTTTAAGAAGATAAAAAAAATTCAGAGATCTATTATTTTCAGTTTCCAATGTGAATGGAAATCTTTCCTAGATGCTATTGAAATTGGTCAACATGTTGTCAACTTGATCACTAGGTGCGGTCAAAACAATGTCATCTACATGTCTGATATAAAATATGGAATAAAAATTCAAAGAATTCAAAGTCTTTTCCTCCAAATCTCGCAATACAAATTCAGTCAAAATAGGAAATAAGGAACCCACAAGGGTGCCAAATAAATTTTTATTTACAGGGTGCTGGTAAATTTTATCGTTAAACGTAAAGAAAGTCGAAGTGAAAATAAATTTTAGAGTTTCAACAAATTCGTTCAATAGTTCGTTTTTAAAGTAATTAAATGCCTTTTTTTAATGCTACTGATTGCAAGATTTAAAGGAATATTCGTAAACAGAGATCACGTATAACGAAATTAAAATTGAATTGTCTATTTCAGATCCATCAAGTAATCTGTAAATCTCCAAACTATTATTTGCATGTCTTGGATTCTTTTCCACAATTGACGTAATGATTGTAAAAAGGCTGCTATATATAATAATAGTGTTAGCGAAAAGAAAAGCATGAGATGATTAATAGTTTAACACGATATTCTACAAATGTTATTATAGGAAATTAAAAATGAAAATATAATGAAAATTTTGAATATGCAACAAATATAGAAGAAGATAATTGTTATTTCCTGTATAGCGAACTTACCACAAAATTCGCACATGTTGTCGCACAATTATGGCTAGCCTCTCATCCACGTTATTAGAAAAATCCTCTCTCCCGTCCACTAAATGCAAAATCCACTGCATGAGAATTTCCAGACGACCGTAAGCGTGTACTGCCAAAACGGCAGTCAAACTACAGGTAGCGGTCGCAACAGTTTGCGAAATGACACCCGACGCGAACTGAGTCCAAAAGAAAATCTCATTAATTGGACTATGACGTGTATCGACGATCATCTTTGCGACCGGATACACCAGTGGCTGATACGTCAGATTACTATTTCTTTCTGTGATCTTGCCCATGCTCAATGGCATAGCGATGTGATAGAACGTGATACCGCCGTACGCGATGAACGCGTTGATTATTATAAGACGACGGCCGAATTCCGCGTTTCTAATCATAATCATGCGATCATCATGATACCACGTATTTCTCCAATCGGTCTTGATGTGCTCGATACATACACGGATATCTCTCCCATGAAGGGCCAGCGAGCAGTACTTCATGGTAACCATCAGACCAAAGGATAACGGTCCGGTAAACTTTAAAATATTGTATATATCTTCGACTTCAAGCACGACGTAGAAGACGCACGGAATGAAGAGAAAAGCCACCATACCGAGATAAATTACGTTCATTAGCACGCGCACATATTTCTGTATCGAAGAAGATGATTTGAGTGAATTGGGCCAAATGCCAATTGACTTCAGTAACCAACGGATCTGCTGGATACTTATCTGCGCGTATTTTTCGTGATCGTAAACGGTTGTTACTGGATTTGATTTTTGAGTAGAGGGTGATTTCCGCATCGTTAAAGCACGGAAGCTCAGGTAGTACTGAAAGGACAAAAGTTGAGAAAACGTAGTCACGTCAGGCGCTTGCGCGTTCCAAGGAAAGAGCGATCTACGTCATGAAGTTGAGGGGTGCATTTTATAGTCATACTGACAACCATGAAGGGTGAGAGAGGATTTTTTCTTCCTCTTCCTTGTATGATATATTGGTTCCGTGAATTATATGCGTAAGACATATAATCTCTTCCACGAGCGTTTTGCGAGAAGTATCGGTAAGCAGAAGTATCGCGATTCTCATTCTTTTATAAATTCTTCATTGGAATAAAAATATTGCATATGTAATATAAATTTATACATAAAGATATTCATAAATTTAGATAATTAGATGAATATGTATACGTATTAAATGTATTAATATTATGAAATATAATGATCATATTTTGAAATTCATTAGAGAATTTAATTGTAAATAGTACGAGAAAAAATTAGAAAAATAAGACACGAAAGAAATATCACATTATAGAATAAATGTCAAAGTTTATGCACACATCTTTTTATTTATTAAATCTATATTTATTTCTTATTCTTATTCTTATATTTTCTTTAATGTCATACTAAATGATTAATGTGTTATATTTAGAAAAAGAACATGATGATTATTTAGTACAGGGGACTATCCTCTAATGATCTTGATCTTGATATATGTTGTCAAGATCACGCCTCTGAGTGGCATAACATAATTAATAATTCCTTCTCCGCCAATTTGAATTTAGTTGTTAACTATTGATTCATAAGCTGAGAAGTCAGATTGTTGTAATTGAATATTTATAAAGTAGATAATTTTTAAATAAGTATACAAGTTTTCTATTTCAAAAATACTAATATTTTACTTCAAAAACACAAATTTCCTGCTTTACAAACAGTTGACATTGTTCTTCATTTATGCAGTTTTACCAAGTTATTAAATTACATGAATTATCCCCCTTTCTGCAAAAGTTAGTCAACGGATATATGTATAATAATATATTTGATTCTTTCTTTAAGAATGCTGCTTTACAAACACAGATTCTTTGCTATAAAACACACATTTTTTTGATGAACTTTTTTTGTTTGTGCATACGCAAAAAGTGTTAGAATACATGATAGGCACGTGACGACAATATCTGAAGAAACCAATTGAATTGATCAATTGGCTAAATTGTGCAATTATAATTTATTAATTTTTTCTTTGTCTGAGGTCTCGGAACAATTTCTAATCTCTTTGACACAGGTTTTAAAGTATGGTCAATATAATGTTACAAATGCTTTAAAGTGTTTTTTGATAAGTCAATTTGTAAAATTCTTTCTTTTAATTGGCTCATCAAATGCTTCGAAGCATTTGTAGCGAGACTTTGACTACAATCTTACTCATCTGCTTGTATAGCTATTCATCTCTTTCTTTACTTTGCATTCGTTTTCCGAGAATGTACAAAGCTATCCTGAAGAATATCGAGTGGACCAAAATGGAGAACCAATCAGAAGTTGTGCCCGCTTTCGCCAAACTCCGATTATAGGATCTCTAGTCTTTACTACTGCCTATGGCAATTCAAATAGTTACGGCAGTACGTATGACTTATTCTTGACAGAAAGAACGTAACTATGTCGGCTGACTGTGCACAATCGATATTTACAGTATAACTTGTTGCATACAAAGTTTAATATAATGTGTAATAAAGATAGAAAATTATCGAATAAGTGTTGTCAGTTATAAGTCACGTTACGTGAAAATATGATAAATTTTTTATCTACGAAATATAATTCTTTACGTTAGAAAATTAGAAGATATATCTTTGGTTGCATACTAGCACATCGTATGCCTTACTTTTGCTTTAAAACACAAATATCTCTACTAAAAATTCTGTTTTATCTGATATACTCTTGACTACTCTTGAGACAAAATATAAATAAAATACGAATAGTTATAATCTCCCAATTAAGATATTAACAGGAAATTAATATTAAGATTAAATGTTAACAGAAAAAAAAGAAAATAAAAACAATTTTATTAAATGAATTTTAATTAACATTCATGTTTATTATAAATATATAAAATATATTATATATTTTATAATATATGTGGGAAATAATTTATCAACATTTTAAAATAATTTGTAATTTTAATGAACCGTTTTTTTTCTAAATAATTATGAAATTGTAGCAGAAGAAATATTTACATTCATCACACAGAGTGAACTAGAAGTTATTTTAAAAATCTAAGAATAAAAGACGTATTAGATTTTTGGATTAATTTAATCCTTCTTACTTATTGAATCTGCATTCGAAACTTCATTTCTTTTTTTATTTTCATATAAAGTTAGATTAATTATTATAATTCATATACGTATTTTATAAAATTAATTGGTTTATATTATTATTTATTTTGCAACAAATACAATTTATATCAATCATCAGTACTGTAATTTATGAAAAATTTTTAAGTAGTAAGTGTACGTAACATATTTAAATAGGCAACCGATGTCTTAATCACCTGTTTAATAAACGTTTATGAGTCATGCAATTAAAAAGTTATTCTATAAAACTTATAATTAATTTATAAATACTTACATCACCGAAACTGATCATAGATAACTCTATGATATTCCCAGCAGTAAGTTTAACCGATGAATTGGACATCATAATCATTAATACAATAGCTAGAGCTTTCCTTTTTGATAGACGATGCCAATCGATCATGTATGATATCTCACTGACCCTCTTGCACTATGGACAGGATTGATTCATTAATTCATTAAATGAATTACACTCCTACAAAAGTTTTATTTTTGCAATTGCAGCAATAAAACTTTTTATTATAATTTTGACGATACTAAATCATACCTGCTCGGCAACAAGTTCACCTATGTAACAAAATACGAAAAGATTGAAGACAAAATTCATAAGCAGAATAATATATGTTATTGCAAAGCCGCCCTCCCATTCCTGCAATTAAAATTTTCTATTTTCGGAAATATTTTGCGTACATCATCAGTATTCTAATATTATTGCAGAAGAGTGAATTTTACATGATGTGCCTACCATAATTGTATAATATCCAAGAAAACATATGTTGAGCGTATTTCCTACAACTTCCACAAAAGATACCTTGTGCAATAATTTTTCTGTTAACTCTATAAAACTGCAAAATAATACATGTATGGGGTTGGGAATATGTATAACAATTAATCATAATATTATAAATGAGAAAACAGTATATAATTTATATAATCATTTTTGAGTGAGTCACTTAAATAATCAATTTTTCTTGTTTTTAAAAAAATATTATTATATTATATCGTAAGTTATTGTTAATGTTATTATAAGTTAATGTTATTATATCGATAGTGTTATAATGAAAAGAAAATTGCATTATTGCACAAGCATTATTATAGATAAATTATGGCCAAGAGATGATTAACAGTTCACAACTCATTCTTTAAATGTTGTTACGAGAAATTAAAATAAAAGTGTAATGAGGAATACATATTGAATATGCAATACATTTAAAGGAGACAATTGTTATTTTCTGAATAGCAGATTTACCACAAAATTCGCACATGTTCTTGCACAATTATGGCCAGCCTATCATCCACGTTATTAGAAAAATCCTCTCTCCCGTCCACTAAATGCAAAATCCATTGCATGAGAATCTCCAGACGGCCGTAAGCATGTACTGCCAAAACGGCAATCAAACCACAGGTAGCGGTCACGACGGTTTGCGAAATGACAGCCGACACGAACTGAATCCAAAAAAAAATCTCATTAATTGGACTGTGACGCGTGTCGACGATCATCCTTGCGACCGGATATGGCAGTGGCTGGTACGTCAGATTACTATTTCTCTCTGTAATCTTGCCCATGCTAAACGGCATGGCGATGTGAAATAATATAGCACCGCTGTACGCGAAGAACCCGTTGATCACTATGAGACGACGGCCGAATTCCGCGTTTCTGATCATAATCGCGCGATCGTCGTGATACCACGTATTCTTCCAATCGGTCTTGATATGCTCGATACATACACGGATATCTCTCCTACGAAAGGCCAGCGAGCTGTACTTCACGATAGTTATCAGGCAAAAGGATAACGGTCCAATGAACTTCAAGGTATTGTATGTGCCTTCGACTTCGAGCACGACGTAGAAAACGCACGGTATGAAAACAAAAGTCACTATACCGACACAAATTACGTTCAGTAGCACGCGCACATATTTCATTATCGGAGAAGAGAATTTAAATGAATTGGGCCAAATGCCAATTGACTTCATTATCCAACGAATCTGCTGGATACTTAGTCTCGCATATTTCTCATGATCGTAAACAGTCGCTATCGGATTTGAATTCTGAGTACAGGATGATTTCCGCATCATTAAAGCACAAAAGCTTAGAGCGTACTGAAAGGACGGAAAATCGAGGATAGACCCCGTAGTAACGTTAAGCGCTTGCGCGCTTAACTTACAAGGAAAGAGCTATGAAGTTGAAGGGTGCATTTTATAGTCATATTGATAACCATGAAGGTAAGAGAGGATTTTATTTTCTTCTTCTTTGTATGATATATTAGTTACTGTGAATTAGGTGCGTAAGGCATATAACTCTTCCACGAGTATGTTTTACGAGAAGAATCGGTAAGGATCGCGATTCTCATTCTTTTTTTATGAATTTTTCTTTGGAATAAAAATATTGCATATGTATAAAATCATACATATACATATTCATAAAATTAGATAATTAGATGAATATGTATACGTATTAAATGAATTAATATTCTGAAATATAATGACCATACTTTGAAATTTATTAGAGAATTTAATTGTAAATAGCGAAAAAAAAATTAGTAAAATAAGACACGAAAGAAGTCACATTTTAGAATAAATATCAAAGTTCACGCACATCTTTTTATTTATTAAATCTATACTTATTTCTTATTCTTATTCTTTCTTTAATGTCATATTAAATGGTTAATTGATTTAATAAAATTATTAGTTCCATTTTTTTATTGTATATTACAAAAATGTATAATTTGTACACAGAAAAAACAATATGGTTAGTCTACACAGAATCTAGTGATGCCAATTAGATTAAATAGTAAAATATGGAACAACTGTTTATGTGATTGCTTGAACCATAGTACAATAGTTAGGTTAGCTTATATTGCAGCAATGATGGCATTTCAAGTATACACATTTTTGTAAGTTTGGTAAGTCGCTTTTGCTTTTTGAAATTGTAACCTAATTTATAACATGATGCAATAAGAAATTAATTCATATTAATAATTTAATATGAATTAATATTAATAATTTTTATTTCATTTTTAAATCATGCTTTATAATGTTACAATTGACGCAACTATATAGATATATAACTTATCCATAGTAAATGGTCTCCTAATCAAGTTTTGGTTATCACCAGATCATGCCTGCTAAGTATTGATATAATTGACACGTCAGAGTAAACAAATCGTATTAATTATACGTTTTTCTGTTATATAAATATAATTAGGATGATGTTTCTATATTGCTCATAATTAAATATTTTTAGTTATGTAAACTATTAGGTGTTGGAATTAATTCGTAGCGTTTTTTAATGAAAGAATGTTATTTATTTCACATGAGCATTAAAAAATACATTAATGAAAGTACTTCCCATCACTTGTAAAACGCTACGAATTAATTCCAACACCTAATATATCTTTTTTTTCCGTGTACATTTTGAGTTGTCTATATAGTTAATGCACGTAATATGTTCAAGTAAGCAACTGATATTAATCATCTTTAAAAAAATGATATTTAAGTCATGTTTCGTGAATCAATTTAATAAATGATGTTTTACTTACGCTATCAAAAGTACTAAAAATGGACAGTTCGATATTTTTCTAGCAGACGATATCAATCAGTCATGTAGGATACTTCGTCCATCTTTTTGCACTGCAAGATTGTATTTTCTCTTTTATGTCAATCGTATTCATCTTTACGTTAAAAAAAAAACTTAATTTTCATAGTACAAATAAATTTGAACTTTTGTAATGTTTATTACAAAGAGAGCGAGCGTGGCAAAGCAGATAGCGCATTTGTCTGCTATGTTAGAAATCCCGGGATTCCTGATAAACCCAACAATATTTTCATACGTTTGTATCTCCTCTCGGAAGGAAGCGGTAATCCATCGAGAGTATCTTTGTCAAAAACGCTTTTCTAACAAAATTTTGACGTTCGACGTTAAAAAATATAGGTATGACTGTATGTGTATAATCATATAATACAACACAGCGTGAGCAATACAGGCATATGAAAGAAGTTACCACACTCGATTACAGCAACAGAACTAATTGTAAAAAGAATGTTAGTCATTATTACTTTTAATATAAAGATTTTAATATAAATTGCATATATGAAATTTAACGTTAGTAGTCAGAGATGCTTTCAAAGTAAAGACAAATGGACATTGACAATATCCATCAGAGTAAGATTGAAAATCTTATGGGATAATATATGCATGGAGGCAAGAATACATATCCATTTTCTACTTTTATCGTCATCTTTATTACATAATGCAGAATCTCAGAAGCATAGAGTTTATTATTAATTTTCTCTAATTTCTATCATTTGTTGATGCATCTGTCATCATATATGTTTATATGGATTAGATTTTTATTAGATTTATGAAACACACAATTTCTATACGAAAAACTTTTATATATTTTTTAATATATCTAAATAGAGAATATTACAAATACTCATATTTTATCATTTACATTCACAGCATTTACATAGTCAAAGTTCGAAGCATATTTAAATATGTGACCGACGTTTTAATTACCTAAAATGTTTAATAATTAATTTTGCATTTTAATAAATTTTATTTATATTATATGTTTAAAATTAAGTTATGCCATTTTATATTACTTTTTGCGGTACCCTTGGCGATAAAAAATACACTAAATATTTTAATTTTATTAGAAGTTATATTTATAATTTTTATAATACTTACAACACCGAAAGTCTGGATAGACATATGAAATACTTTTCCAGCCGTGATTTTGGTAACAATTCTTGATCGCAAGATTATTAAAATAAGACCAAGAACGATTTTATGTGGCAATTTATACCAGTCCGTCATATAAGCTACTTCACCAACTTTTTTACACTATCACATAATGAATCCGTTAATCCAAGTGTGAATATTTTAATTGCAGATAAATATATAAGGAAAGCTTTTGAAATGGAACACAATTACTTTATGTACCTGATCCGACACGAGTTCGCCAATGAAGCAAAATATGAAGATATTAAACATCATTGCTGTTAACACCATGATATATGTTATTATAGTGTTTATACTCTCTTCATGCCATTCCTGGAAGAATACCCAAAGTAATAGCATTTACAATATAGATATAGTAACGATATAGTCAATCTGTCACATATTCACCTTTCTTAAATTTTAAGCATACCGTAATGGTGTAATATCCTAACATGCACAAGTTGAATGTACACCCGATTAATTCCACAAAACATATCTCACTCATAATTGCCTCCAAATGTGAAAGAAACCTGCAATCGATACATCCAGCAACAGCCGCGACGTTAAAGACACTCAATTTTTTTATCCGAATATCTTACAGCCGCGACAGTTGCAATTCTGCAAATATGTTATATTTAGAAAAAAAAATATAAGATAATTTTTCCACATATTATAGTTTTTTGGCACTTTTTCCAGATAAAAATAACTAAATTTTACGAGAAATTAATTTTAAAGGTTATTCAAAAATCAGTCAAAGTTTATAAAATATACAACCGTATCATTTCTCGTAGAGAATTAAAATTTATTTGTACATAATCTTTTAAAATTAATTTTTACCTCAAGGCTCGCAGGTGATGCTCCACAATGTTCGCCAGTCTCAGCTGAAGGAGATCTTGTCGCTCGGTGACGAGTTCTTCGAGACGTAGCATCACTACATTGAGTTGGCCGGATGCATGCATCGCGAAAACCGCGGCGAGACCGCAAGCACCAATCGTGATGTTATTTACTACGATGGTCGAAAGACACTGCAACGCGAGCACGATCTCATATATTGGACTGAGTCTGGTATCTACGATTTTGTTGAAGGACGGACAAGGTAGGCGACCTGTTTCAATCGTCTTGTTGCCGATTTCCACAGATATCCGTGACATTCCTCTCGCTATGTTATAACAAATAACGCCACCTTGCAGGATGAGCGCGCAAATGCCCGCTATAACGCGTCCCACTCTCGCGTTTCGTAGCATTAATTCCCGATCGTATTCTCTCTTCGCCATCCGCCAATCGGTCTCCATATGCTTTATAGACGTACGTATCCGATTATTATGGTGCAGGAGCGAACAGTAATTAATTCCACCCATCAGAATATGACTCGTAGGTCCAATAGCCTTGAGTCTCAAACGGAAATCCTTTTCTTCGAATAATATGTATAATATAGCAGATATCACGGTAAAAGCTATTAATGAATGACATATTAATCGCAAGATATTTATTAAAACATTCTTAATCATTGAATTTGTTTGTATTTCTGGCCAAGCGCCTATCGATTTCAAAAACCAACGATTTAACTGTAAACTATAATCGTTGTCTCGTTTGTAATCGCTCACAATGATCTCGCTAGAAACGGGCTTCATAGTCGATTCATAGACAACGCGCTTCATAGTCGATTCATAGACAACGCGCCAGGTACTGATAGCATGGACTATAATCCTACTACTTGGTTTCTCAATGAAGTAGTGGTTACGTCAGCGCCTGCGCGGACATGTGAGGAGAGAGAACAAATTTGTACGCCATCCAGCTGAGACAGAATATAATCGATACTTATAGCTACTAGTTGCACGAAATCACATGAATTGTACGAGACATCTAAACACAATTCATGGGATAGCTTGGTCAACAAAGGTAATCAAATTTGCAGTTATTTTTGTTTAATGAGTAGTATTCTTAATGTAAATGATATTAGACAAAAGTATGATGTTTTTTGGTATTTTATATTACACTTTAGCTGTTAAAACTTATATCTTGTTTGTTACACACATCAAAATATAATATTGCAAAATATAATATATTATTAATAAGATAAAACATAAAATGGGATATATTACATAACCACATTATTGAGAAGTAAAAGATATACTTATTAATACCATAGAATCAGCTATATCACTACTTCATTATAATTTGAATATTTGTTATCTGGAGCTTTTATGTCACATACATCTACATTTTGTTATGTCGCTACTGTTCTGAGTATATTTAAATACGCAAACGATGTTTTCATGACCTGCAACAATCATAGTTGATAGATCCATCTTAATGACCTTTGCGCATTTTTTATGTAATAATTCTTAGACCTTTCTAGACGAAGAATAGACGAAGAATGTATTAGAATATTAAAATGAGCGATATAAAAGTTAATATTAAGCAATATAAACATAATATAATAAACATTAAGATATATAAATAGTTAAAATATAATAGTTCAGTATAGTTGTATAAAAATAGTTCATATATAAAAGTACATATATAAAAATAGTAAGATATTTAAAAAAATTTTATGGAAATTTACAAAAACAAATATGCCTCGAAATATTATTTATAAAAAAATGTTAATAAAGTATTTAGATAAACTTACATCTCCAAAACTTGCAATAGATAGCTGAATCATTTTTCCGGCGGTTATTTTAATAACGGCATTTGATCTTGAAATTATTAGAATTAGGTCGATCGCAATTTTATGATGTAATCGGTACCACTCTGTCATGTATGCCATTTCTCCTATTTTTTGACACTATACAAACTCTAACTTGATCTATGTTTTTACGTCATAATTTTATTTTTAGACTATTATAATAAAAGAGAAAAAATTTATATACACATATGTAATACGTATATACGATGTAACTACCTGGTCCGTAAGGATTTCAGCAATATAACAAAATATAAAAATGTTGCATGACATGGCTATCAATATAGTAAAGTAAGTAAGCAAATTTTTAGTATCGTGCAATTTCCATTCCTATAAATACATATAATCATTTTATAAATAAATATACACACACACACACACAAATGTCTGTATAAAATAATTCATTATTATTTAATTTGTTAAAAAATATAATAAAAAATGTAACATAAATGAAACGCGTAAAAAAAACAAAAACTTATTTTGCAGTTATTACAATTATTTGATGTGATACCAGCATACCGTAATCATATAATATCCAACCATGCATATATCAGTGGTACAACCTAAAAATTCGACGAGACATATCTGATGCATAATCGTTTCTATCTGCGATACAAAACTAAAATTAAAACTATTGTTTAGTAATACACATACACACTCACACACACACCCACACACACACACACACACACAAACACAAACACACACACACACACACACGCACGCACGCACGCACGCACGCACACACGCACGCACACACACAGAATATATTGTATTACTAAAATAATAGTTTTAATTTCAGTTTTGTATCGCAGATAGAAACGATTATAAAATAATAATTTAATATATTATTACATTTTTTAATATCATTTTTTGTTATGTATAACTTCTTTACAGAAATTAAAATAAGATTTTGAAAGCTCTAACTACAAAACTAGTTAAACAATACAAATAAAAAGAATATTTTTTTAACGAATTGCTGAATCGGCGATTTAAATATTACAACTTCATTCCACTTATTTGAATTTTGATGGAAATATAAATAAAAAATCAAATACATTTTCAAAATCTACAATGTGTAAATATTACCTCAGTACACGGAGATGTTGCTCCACGATGATAGCCAATTTTCGTCGCGTGACTTTATGTTCGCTTTCTGTTTCGTCGACAAGTTCGTCCAATCTCATCATCAGAATGCTCAGCTGGCCACAAGCATGCATGGCGAAGACCGCAGCAAGACTGCACGCGCCCACCGTGACGGAGTTTACTATGACAGCTGACAACAATTGTAAAACAACCACAATCTCGTTCGCTGGACTATATCTAGTGTCCAGCAGCTCCATGTAGAATGGACACGGAAGCTGGTGCGTAGTTATCGTGACGTTTCCGATTCGAACGTTCGCCGGTGTCAGAATGGTAATGATACAGAAGGAACAGATACCGCCTTGCATGAAGACCGCGCAAAAAGCGGACACAAATCGACCGAATTTTGCATTTTGCAGCATCACCTCGCGATCGTACGTTGTACCCACGTACTGCCAATCGGCACGCATATGGTCCACGCACTTGCGTATCTTGTAGTTACGCATTAGTAATGAACAATAGTTCGCGCCGCCCATCAGGCAATGTATCATCGGACCAAAAGCCTTCAGCTTTAGATGCACATCCGGCTCAAATATGATGTATAATATGCACGGTACTACCGTGAAGGCAATCAGAGAATGACAGACAAATTGGATAGCATGGGATAGCACCTTGCCGGCGATACTAGTATTGGTTTCTGGCCAAGCACTGATTGGTTTTAGAAACCAGCGATTCAATTGAATACTGTATTCGTTGTCCTGTTGATACGCGATGTTGCGCATAGAGGACACACGGAAGGAATACGACATAGTGATTGGAATGTCGACGAACTATTGAGCGATAATATAGCGATGGAGGAAGCATCAAGTCATTCTCAGCGCTTGCGCATTTATTCTAACTCTTTTTCTCAAGGAGTATAGTTAGCTTAAGAGACAGAGTTTTAGATTTTCTAGAGTGAAGGGGTAGTAGCGATCGATACGGGTGCGAGTTGCGTCGATTAATCGGTAGTTATTATATGCCCTATTCTACTTAGATGCACGATAGGAAAATAATCTGCATGGAGCGAGGTAATATATGTAGTTTACATTTTATATCATGTTTTTTATTCTTTGTTATACATAACATTTCTTGATAATTAAAAATTTCTTATTTATACGTAATGTGTATATATGTATAATAAGAAATTTTATACCAAAAAATGAACTATGTCATAAAAATATAAATTGCATTCGTTTGATTTTTGCGTATTATGCCAAATAATATTAGTATATAACAAAATAAAAGGTATATTGTTTAATAAATACTTTAATAAGTAATAAGATATTTAATAAGTACCGTTTTCTATTTCTTAAAAAACATTTCTGTTTTTTTCTTGATACATGTCAGACAACTAATTGACATTTATTTGCAACCTTATCGATTGTGTCATTTATTAATATGTATACTTTGGACAAGAATATATATAATGTACGCAGCATGTTAAAGTAAGTGACTGACGTTTTAACCACTTGTTAATTGTACAAATCATATTCTTATAAACAGATGCAATAAACATTGATATTATGTTACTCACGTTTCCAAAAGTAATGAAAGACAACTCGAATAATAATATTTCCGATGTAAATTTAATTGATGTATTGGATATAGCAATCATTAATACAATATCGAGGCTTTTTCTTCCAGACATACAATATCAATCGATTGTGATACCTCACCGATTTTCTTGTACTATTCATTGGATTGCTTTTTTAATTTTTTCCTATATAAAATGTGATATCCGACAAACGAACTAACGTTATTTGTCGTCATATTGACATAAAATGATGACAAATAAATGTCAGCTTATTTACATTTACACACAACTAAGAGTTTCTTAATTTCTGAAATATAATTCTAAATTTTGTAAATTTTAGTACGATTAGATATTTTTATTATAACAATACGTTATTATATATAATAATAATAATAATAATAAGTCTTATAAAAATACTCTTGCTATTGTGTAAAAATATATTATCCAGATGTGCAAAGGAATGTTCCGGTTGTTATAGGGCTTTACCTTTTCGGCAATAAGTTTGCCGATATAATAAAATATAAAAACATTAAAAGTAAAAGATAGAAAAAGAACAATATACGTTATATAACTTATAATCTTTTGGCTCTCTCATTCCTGCAATATAATAAGTTTTATATTTGGGGATATATTGTACATATCGATATAAATCATACATGATCTCCAACATTGCTCATGACAAATATTTCACGCAGTATTCTGTTCGTTAAATTGAATATATAAAACTGAAAGATATATTATCGTGCGCGCGCGCGCGCGCGTGTGTGTGTGTGGGTGTGTGTCTGTATAAATAATATGGTTGCGTTCCACTTAACGCTCGCAACGTTCATGAGCATCATTTGTCCTTCTTTAACATTTGATAAACGATAAAAGATGAAATGATTTCACGAGCGTTGTAAGCGTTAAGTGGAACGCATATATATTTCACAGAAAAAGTATGATTTCTTTAAGTTGTTCTTAAATAATCAAAAATAAATTGAAGCGGAATATAGATATATTGAATGCACGAACACTGACGAAGTTTGGAAGAGACTCACCGTAAAATTCGTACGTGATGCTCTGTAATTATCGCCAATCTCTCATTGTTATCACATAAATATTTTCGTCCGTCTATCAAGTGCTCGATCCAAGATCTCCATAAGGTCATAAGCGTGCATCGCCAATATGGCAGCTAAGCTTCTTGCACTGACAAAGATAAAGTGCGCAAGGAAACTCGATAGAAACTGCTTTCAAAAGAAAATTTTATTGATGGGACTATATCATGCGTCGACAATCACCTTGGCAATCGGATTTATTAATGGCTAATATATTGATTTTTCATCCGTAATCTTGCGAGTACTCAACAACAGAATAAGGTAATAAAAAATACCATCGCTGTACATGAAGAACGCGCAGAGTGCCGCCAAGTGTCAACTTCGCGTTTTTTTATAATCCAATCGAGTATTATAAAATATTAGAGTATTATTGTAATATCGAGTATTTATCCAATCTTTTTCGATATGTTTAATATCATTGCGGATGTCGTTCTCGCGTACAATTAACAAAGAATAGTTTATAATAACCATTATACAAAAACTCGCACCTCACAAAGCATACGATACGTATTACTCATTTAAAGTATCGTATACATGACAGAGGATATAAAGAAAAAAGCGATACAGATTAAATTTATCAGAAAATATACGAATTTTTCTATACATGAAATATTGAATAATGAATATTGAAACTTTGGAGAGACACCAATCGACTTTATTATTCAGCGGTTCAAATGCATATAGGTAACATTTGTATTTTATGATACATATTCCAAAAAAAATTTAGTTAGTTATTTAACAATTTAATGAGTTACATTTAGCATGAAGATTGCTATACTTCAAATAATGCTTCCTCAAGTTGTGAACATAGCATATTTAAGGTGAAAAATAATTTAATAATATATATTTTTTTCAAAGAAAGATAACTGCATTAATATGATATCTATGATTAACTTAGATATGTATTGATGAAAAATATCTATTGACTGGAATTTTATTTATATGCTTGTTTTTTTATAAAAAATTATATTTTATCATATTTCTATTATTAATATAAGATATAAAATTCTGATTTATTTTTTCATATGATATTGTACTTACATGGCTATAGCTGATGATAAATCAATTTTATGTCTAGTAGTAGAAAAGTTCTTGATTGGCAATGAAACACTTAAAACCTAGAAAAAATTACAATAATAATTGATAAAATATTAATTTTTACTTCTAATTTTTACTTCAAACATGATTAAATAATAAAATGAATTTTTTATAACTTAACCCACATATAAACCTGATAAAATTTCTCATACAGTAACTGAATTATTATTATCTACATTGAGACATTAACTATGCGTACTTATCATCATATAATGCAGAATATCGTCATATAATGCCTCTATTATATAATGCAGAATCTAAGTATAGAGTTTATATTCATATTTATTTATTCTAATTTCTATCATCCATTATTATATATATGTGCTTGTATGTTTATATGTGTGGATTAGATTTATATTAGATTTATGTATAAAACACACAATTCCTATACAAAAAACTTTATATATTTTTTAAATCTATTTAAATTTATATCTAAGTAGATATTACAAATACTCATATTTTATCACATTCATAGCATTTACATAGTTAAAGTTCGAAGCATATTTAAATATGCGATCGACGTTTTAATTACCTAAAATGTTTAATAATTAATTTTACATTTTAATAAGTTTTATGCATATGTATGTTTAAAATAAAATTATGCCATTTTATATTACTTTTTGCGATATCTTTAACGATGAAAAATACACTAAATTTTTATTTTAAAAAATTTACAAAAAATACTTTTAAAATCGACTCTCAAACGTAAATGTCCAATTAAAAAATGTTTTTTTTAATAAATGTGAATTTTTATATGCAATTTATTTATTATGTCATCTTTTTCTACAATAGATAATCATATACCCATAACAGTAACAAAAAAAAAATTGAAATTTAAACGATTACAGTCACCGTTGTCGATAAAAGAGCTAAAACCGCTTTGATTTCAGATTTTTTCGATACGGAATCAAAAAAGACCGAAACCGTTATCCGGTAAAAGGACCGGAATCGGAACCGAAATCGAAAATTGGATACAGCCTCTGACCGTGATCGTAGCCGGACCGATTTCATTTCGGTCTGAGTTCCTGGAGGAGAAACAAATTTGTACGCCATCCAGCTGAGACAGAATATAATCGATACTTATACCTACTAGTTGCACGAAATCACATGAATTGTACGAGACATCTAAACACAATTCATGGGATAGCTTGGTCAACAAAGGTAATCAAATTTGCAGTTATTTTTGTTTAATGAGTAGTATTCTTAATGTAAATGATATTAGACAAAAGTATGACGTCTTTTGGTATTTTATATTACACTTTAGCTGTTAAAACTTATATCTTGTTTGTTACACATAATGAAAATGTAATATTGTTATTAATAAGACAAAACATAGAATGAGATATATTGCATAACGACATTATTGAGAAGAAAAAAATACTTATTAATACCATAGAATCAGCTATATCACTACATTGATTATTCATAATTTGAATATTTGTTAGGAATATTTGTTTGTCTGGAGCTCTTATGTCATATACATCTACATTTTGTTATGTCGCTACTGTTCTGAGTATATTTAAATACGCAAATGATGTTTTCATGACCTGAAACAATTATAGTTGATAGATCCGTCTTAATGATCTTTGCGCATTTTTTATGTAATAATTTTTAGATCTTTCTAGCATATATAAGAATATTAAAAAAATATAAGCTATATAATATCTAATATAATATAATAAACATTGAGACATAAATATTTAAAAGTTCTTACATAAAAGTACATATATAAAAGAAGAAAGAATTTTTTTAAAAAAATTTTATTTTACAAAGACAAGTTTACAAAGAAAAATTAAAGGAGTTTACAAAGGTAAATCATCAACATTTTGTTTATAAAAAAATGTTAATATAGTATTTAGATAAACTTACATCTCCAAAAGTTGCAATAGATAGCTGAATCATTTTTCCGGCGGTTATTTTAATAACGGCATTTGATCTTGAAATTATTAGAATTAGATCGATCGCAATTTTATGATGTAATCGGTACCACTCTGTCATGTATGCCATTTCTCCTATTTTTTGACACTATACAAACTCTAATTTGATCTATGTTTTTACGTCATAATTTTATTTTAAACTATTATAAAAAAAGAGAAAAAAATTTATATACAGTTATGTATACGTATATACGATGCCACTACCTGGTCCGTGAGGATTTCAGCAATATAACAAAATATAAAAATGTTGCATGACATGGCTATGAATATAGTAAAGTATGTAAGCAAATTTTTAGTATCGTGCAATTTCCATTCCTATAAATACATATAATCATTTTATAAATAAATATACACACACACACACACAAATGTCTGTATAAAATAATTCATTATTATTTAATTTGTTAAAAAATATAATAAAAAATGTAACATAAGTAAAATGCACACGCGTACAAAGATTTATTTTGCAGTTACTGTTTGATGTGATACCAGCATACCGTAATCGTATAATAGCCGAGCATGCACATATCGGTAGTACACCCCAATAATTCAACGAGACATATCTGATGCATAATCGTTTCTATCTGCGATACAAAACTGAAATTAAAACTATTATTTAGTAATATAATATACTATATATATATATATATATAATATAATATAACTTAATATATTATTATATTTTTTAATATCATTTTTTGTTATGTGTAACTCGTTTACAGCAGAGAAATTTAAACAAGATTTTGAAAACTTTAACTACAAAATCAGTTAAACAATAAAAATAAAAAGGATATCTTTTAAATGAATTGTTGAATCGGCGATTTAAATATTAAAATTTTATTCACTCATTTGAATTTTGATAGAAATATAAATAAAAAATCAAATATACATTTTCAAAATCTACAATGTATAAATATTACCTCAGTACACGGAGATGTTGCTCCACGATGATAGCCAATTTTCGTCGCGTGACCTTATGTTCGCTTTCTGTTTCGTCGACAAGTTCGTCCAATCTTATCATCAGAATGCTCAGCTGGCCACAGGCATGCATGGCGAAGACCGCAGCGAGACTGCACGCGCCCACCGTGACAGAGTTTACTATGACAGTTGACAACAATTGTAGGACGATCACAATCTCGTTTGCTGGACTGTATCTAGTGTCCACCAGTTCCGTGTAGAACGGACACGGAAGCTGGTGCATAGTTATCGTGACGTTCCCGATCCGAATGTTCGCCGGTGTCAGAGTGGTAATGATACTGTAGGAACAGACACCGCCTTGCATGAAGACCGCGCAAAAGGCAGACACAAATCGACCAAATTTTGCGTTTTGCAGCATCACCTCGCGATCGCGGACTGTTCCCACGTATTGCCAATCGGCACGCATATGGTCCACGCACTTGCGTATCTTGTAGCTACGCATCAGTAATGAACAATAGTTCGCGCCGCCCATCAGCCAGTGTATCATCGGACCGAATGCCTTCAACTTTAGATGCACATCCGGCTCAAATATAATGTATAACGCACACGGTACCACCGTGAAGGCGATCAGAGAATGACAAACAAATTGGATACCACGCGATAACACCTTACCGGCGATACCAATGTTGGTCCCTGGCCAAGCACCGATTGGTTTTAGAAACCAGCGATTCAATTGAATACTGTATTCGTTGTCCTGTTGATACGCGATGTTGCGCATAGAGGACACATGGAAGGAATACGACATAGTGATTGGAATGTCGGCGAACTATTGAGCGATAATATCGCCATGGAGGAAACATCAAGTCATTCTCAGCGCTTGCGCATTTTTCTAACTTTTTTTTTCCAAGAAGTATAGTTAGCTTAAGAGACAGAGTTTCAGATTTTCCAGAGTGAAGGGGTAGTAGCGATCGATACGTGTGCGAGTTGCGTTGATTAATCTGTAGTTATTGTATACCCTATTCTACTTAGATGCACAGTAGGAAAACAATCCACGTGGAGCGAGGTATTATATGTAGTTTATATTTTATATTACATTTTTTACTCTTTGATATTCATAAAATTATTTTTTGATGATTAAACATTTCTGATTTATACGAAATGTATATATGTACAATAAGAATTTTTTACCAAAAAATGAACACCGTCATTGAAAATATATTGTTTCAGATTGCATTTTGATTTTTGCGCATAGTGCCAAATAATATTTTAAAGAATAGTATACAAAATAAAAGGTATATTGTTTAACAAATATTTTAATAATATTTAATTAGTAACATTTTCTATTTCTTAAAAAATATTTCTGTTTTTTTTTCTTGATACATATTAGACAACTAATTGGCATTTATTTGAAACCTTGTCGGTTGCGTTATTTATTAATATGTACTTTAGATAAGAATATATACTTTGGACAAAAATTTTATATACTTAATGTACGCAGCATGTTAAAGTAAGCGACCGACGTTTTAACTACCTGTTAATTGTACGAATGATGTACAAATTATATTTTTATAAACAGATATAATAAACATTGATATTATGTTACTCACGTTTCCAAAAGTAGTGAAAGATAATTCGAAAATATTTCCGGCGGTAAATTTGATTGATGTATTAGACATAGCGATCATTAATACAATATCGAGGCTTTTTTTTCCAGACATACGATACCAGTCGATTGTGTATGATACCTCACCGATCTTTTTGTACTATTTATTGGATTGCTTTTTTAATTTTTTATACAATTTTTTATTTCTATACAAAATGTAATATCCGACAAACGAACTAACATTATTTGTTGTCATTTTGACATCTAATGATGACAAATAATGTCAGCTTGTTTACATTTACACACAACTAAAAATTTCTTAATTTCTGAAATATAATTCTAGATTTTGTAAATTTTAGTACGATTAGATATTTTTATTATAACAATATGTTATTATATAGTAATAATAATAATAATAAGACTTACAAAAATACTTTTGCTATTGTGCAAAAACGTATCATGCAAATGTGTAAAGAAATGCTTCGATTGTTAGTGCTTACCTTTTCTGCAATAAGTTCGCCGATGTAACAAAATATAAAAATATTAAAAGTAAAAGATAGAAGAAGAACAGTATACGTTATGTAACTTGTAGTCTTTTGGCTCTCCCATTCCTGCAATATAATAAGTTTTATATTTGGGGATATATTGTACATATCGCTGTAAATCATATACGATTTCAACATTGTTCCGAAATAGGGATATGTTTTACATCGCATATACTCTTTTGTATGATATGCATACCATGATAATATTATATCCAAGAAGACACATGCTTACTGTACATTGTACAATTTCCACGACAGATATTTCACGCAGTATTCTGTCCGTTAATGATATAAAACTAAAAGATCGAATACGTTATCGCGTAAATAATATGGTTCCATTTAACGCTCGTAAAGCTCGTAAGCATCGTTTATCCTTCTTTAACATTTGATAAACGACAGGGATGAAATGATTTCACGAGCGTTATAAGCGTTAAGTGAAATGCCGCCTATATTTCACAGAAAAGGTATGATTTCTTTAAGTATCCTTAAAAATAAATTGAAGCACAGTATAGATATATTGAATGCACTAAACACTGATAAAGTTCGGAAAGAGACTCACCGTAAAATTCGTACGTGATGCTCTATAATTATCGCCAATCTCTCATTCATGTTATCACATAAATCTTTCCGTCCGTCTATTAAGTGTTCGATCCATTGTATCAGAATCTCCATGCGACCGTAAGCGTGCATCGCGAACACGGCAGCTAAGCTGCATCCACTGGCAGTGATAGAGTGAGCGAGAAAGCCTGATAGACACTGCATCCAAAAAAAGATCTCCCTGACAGGACTGTATCGTACATCGATAATCACCCTGGCGACTGGATACACCAGTGGCCGATATGTTAGATTACCATCATCCTCTGTAATTTTGCTGGCACTGAATGGTAGGGCAAGATAGAAGAAAACGGCACCGCCGTACATGAAGAACATACAAATTGCCACAAGGTACTGGCCAAATTTCGCGCTCCTAATCATCGTGGTCCGTTCACTGTGATACTGAGTATTTATCCAGTCACTCTCAATATACTTGATACCATTGCGAATATCTTCTTCATGAAAAATCAGCGAAAAATACTTCACGATGGCCAATACGCAGAAACTCAACGCTCCGGAAAGTTTCAAGATAAGGTATCCATTATCCATTTCAAGCACTATGTAGATGACGGCGGGTACGACGAGGAAGCTAATCAAACCAATACAAATAACATTTAATAGCGTATACGCATATCTCTCTATCGATGAGATAACGGTAGTTTTTGGCCACGTGCCAATTATCTTCATCATCCAACGAATCAGCTGAATGCTCAGCTTCATATCTTTCTTGTAATCGTAGACAGTCGCGACCGGATTTGTCTTTTCTGTGATAGTTCCATACATTGTTGAGGGAGCGAAAGCTCAATGATGACTGATCGGATTGTCCAAGCGTACATGCGAGGAAAGTCAAATGCGACTGCGCTACTTCGCATGACCTTTCTAGTAAAGAGATCATCGAGCAGGATACGGAGGGTAAACTTTGCAAATACAATTCTCCATTTCTATAAAGGGGATCAAGATTTCCTCATGTGATACTGCACATTGTCTATGAATTATGAACGGAATGAATTGCGTTCCTCGCGTAGATATTTTCTGCAATTTGTCTGGATGGATCGCAACCGGGTTTTTTTTTACGTATAATGTATTACACGTGGATGAGAAAATAGGATTACATACATGTACATGTTTCGTAATGCTTGTACAAGTCATATGAAGATATAAATATTACTACAATATTTTTTTTAAAGAAATAAATAGTTTTTTTTATTTATAATATATTTTTCAAATTATAAATAATTATAGATATAATTAAAGAGAATTGCATTTTAATATTAAAATAACATTAAAAAAATTTATTTTTTTAAATTGAGAAGTGCTTTAGACCATTTGTATTAAAATTTGTCTACGCATTTAGTCTAAATAGTAAACAAAATACGAACAAAGAATTTCAATATTTTCGATTGCATTTTGCTTAATTTAATTTTGTTTAATTTTGCTCAATCGCAAGCGGTACTAAGAAAAATTATAACGGGAAATATCCAAAAGATAAACTAGAATCATTTACTTTGAACAAATATTATATCAATGTATGTAGCAAAAAGGTAACGTTTTAACCATCTATCGATTGGACAAATAATATGTAATTCATACCCAGACAGCACAGAATATTTGTGCAATAAATATTTATTATTACTAATTTTTTAAAATGTTATACAATATTTTATATAAAGCTTTGTTCAAAATATTATTGAAAGATAGATTAAATATTTATTATCCACAGAAGTGCAAGATCCTTTCTTCCAGAAACGATGCCAATCGATCATATACAATACTTCACTTCGACTTTTTTGCACTGTTTACAGGATTGCTTTTTCATTTCTTTTATTTGAAACACGACTAGACTTACGCTGCTATAAGCTACTTTCTACACTGGATTCTAAATTTTATAAATTTATTATTACAAAAAACATTGGCGGTGCTAGTAAAAAATAACTCACCGCAAAATTCGAATGTTATCGTTGTACGATTATTGCCAATCTTTCACACTGTTATATATCTTCCCGTCCGTCCATCAACTGTTTGATCCTGTATTAAGATTTCCAGGCGATCACAGGCATACATCGTGAATACGGCAGCTAAGTTTCTTGCACGGACAAAGATAAAGTGCACAAAGAAACCCTATAGAAACTGCATTCAAAAGAAAATTTCATTGATGGGACTATATCATGCGTTGACAATCATCTTGGCAATCGGATTTATTAATGGCTCATATATCAAGTTTTCATCCGTAATTTTACCAGCACTCAACAGCAAAATAAGGTAATAAAAAATACCACCGTTGTACATGAAGAACGCGCAGATCGCCGCCAGGCACCAATTGAATTTCGCGTTTTTTTATAATCCAATCCTCATAATATCGAGAATTCATCCAGTCTTTTTCGATATGTTTAATATTACTGCGAATGTCGTTCTCGCAGATGATTAACGAAGAATAATTTATGATATTATACCATTATACAGAACCATTATACAGAACCATTATACAGAAACTCGCACTCCATAAAGATTACGATATGTATTATTCATTTAAAGTATCATATACATGAGAGGGTATAAGAAAGAAAGCGATACAGATTACATTTATCAGAAAATATACGAATTTTCCTATACAAAAAATATTGGATAAGTTTGGCCAGACACCAATCGATTTCATTATCCAACGATTCAGCTGGATACTGGTAATATTTATATTTTATGATATATATTCCAACAAAAATTTAATGAGTTACATTTAGCATGAAGATTGCTATACTTCAAATAATGCTTCCTCAAGTTGTGAACATAGCATATTTAAGTAGGCGAAAAATAATTTGATAATATATTTTTTTAAGATAACTGCATTAATATATATATAATTAACTTAGATATGCATTGATGGAAGATATCTATTAACTGAATTTTATTTTATTATATGCTTTTGTAAAAAATTATATTTTATCATAGTTCGAGTGTTATTAATATAAAATATAATATTTATTTGAATTATTTATTTGAATTATTTGTTAATATGATATAGTACTTACATGACTAAAGCTGATGATAAATCAATTTTATGTCCAGCAGTAAGCCTGATAGTTGACAAAGCTCTTTTTTCCAAAAATCATGTACAATTTATCGTATTCTCGTGTTTTATGGTCTGTCATGAGATTTCTGCTATGGATAATTGTTGTGATTGCTATGAAAAGTGAACCTTATATGGTCCATGTAGTGCAGGTTGTAATCATATACATCATTGTTAAAAAATACTGTTAAAAGTTTATCTATGTAATAAAATATGATTATGTTGATCCTAAATAAAATAAGATCATTTGTATTAAATTATTTATAGCTTTAAAGTCCCGTTTAAATAATATATGATATTTCTAAATAATAAACAACAGCAAAAAGAATTATATTTCTCTAATTATGGGTGTTTTCCAACAACGTACACAGGTGACACAATGTAACACTGTCTTACACAAAGTGTTCCAACTATGAGACAGTGTTCGACACTGTAAAAAGCTAGGTAAAAGCGTGTAAAATATGTCAATGTTATCAACTTTTCAAAAAGTTTTTGATAGTCGAACTTATTTTGCAATAAAACCTTCAAAAATCGCTAATTCTGAAAAAATTATAATTAAGTCTAAATAAAAATCATAAATCTATTATTAGTAAATACGCTAAATAATTACAAGAATGGACGACTACAATGAATTCTGGTGTTACACTATAAAAACTAAACTGTGTTTCAACAAATATCTTACATAGTGTGAAACACAGTGTAATGTCCCTGTGTCCTAACTGAAAACAGTTTATATTATATCTAGCAATATAGGATATATAAAATGTGAATTTACTACCAGTACTACCATGTAGTAATAAAAGAAATATATAGGTACTTTACGCATCTTACAATAATTCAAAAAATAAATTTACTATTGCTCTTTCTGATTTTAATAAACACACAATTAATTGATCTTAAAATACACCACAAGCAAAGTTCGCTAGTCATTATGAAATATTTTTGAATGTTCATATAATGAAAAAAATCTAAAGCACTTACAGTATTAAATTGAAAGACAGTAAAAAGCGACCTGGAGGAATCACTTTTTAGAAGTCTCATTCGTTTTCAGGATTTCTTTAGGTTCGGTCATATATACCGATCAATCTCAATGTGTACCTACATGATATACCTAATATTGTCCTCGTAATTAGAACTCCGTAGATTCATTTGTTCGATGATATATAGGCAAACGAAAAAAAGAGAAAAACGATTCTCTCTAGATTACTTGTTGTAAAGTGACCGCACGATTGTAAGTGATAGATGAAAATACGATGAAATCAGTTTGTATTATGCACGCTTTCCGCTTTTGTTATCGTAGTATTTCTGTCGCAGCAAAATTAAAAGTTTGATACGAAAGATAGCATAATTTTTTGTTGGTAGGAGATAATTGCAGGACTGATTCACATCGAACGGCCTTTAACATAGTATTTATCTATGATCCATCTGTTTTACGTTACATTATAGATCATAAATAATGAATATTAAATTAACAAAACTACACCAATTGTTAATTAAGTCAACCGATTATAACATCTTGTAGCATCTAATTATAAAAATTAACAATCTTACATAAATTTTAAATAAATATAGAATATGTCAAAAAATTGTTTTCTTTGATATGTTACAAAATATCTAATGCCCAATTTCTTCACTTCCAAATTGTGGATAACCTTATCCAAGAAATATCTCCATTGTATTCTGGAAGATATCTCTTGGATATAGTTATCCAGAAGTGAAGAAATTGGACATAAATGTTTTAAGAGCAAAATTAATTAAAATAAAAAGTATTAATTGCTTATTTTGTTTATTCATTGAAAAAATAGTATTATTTACAAATTCATATTCGAGTATTGCATTGTTATAATAGTTATTTCAGCAAAATTATGTAATAAATTTTCGTAGCAGATTAAAGTATGCCAGTGACGTTTTAATGATCTATAAAATAATGAAATATGTATATTATGTATAATATAATAGCAAGCCAAAATGAGAAATTTTTTCTACACTTACGTTACTGAACGTAGGTAGGGAATTTTCTTTAGAAACTGCCATTATCAAAATTAAAGTACGTGCTCTTTTGTAAGGAAGACGATGCCAATTCGTCGTAGATGTCATTGATCCAACCTTAATGCTCTGCCATGATTAATTAAGTATATATTTCGTAAATGCTTATTCGAAAATTCGCCTATTAATTTTTACAGCAAACAATATAAATATATCAATGCTATCTACCTGATCTGTCAATAGTTGACCAACATAGCAATTAGTAAAAATAGAAAAAGTAAAAGATGCGAGAATCACAAACATAGTTAACATAGCTGTAGAATCGCTTCTTTCCCATTCCTATAAAATTAACGCTATTGCTTAATGATTAAAACCTCTGAAATAATATTTCACAAATACTATCCCATTATTAATTTCTATGAAAATTAGCTGGTCTTACGATAATGTTACATTGTTGTTACATGGCAAAAAAGCTGTATAATGATATAATGATATTACAGTAACGATATCGTTACTGTAAAAGTTACAGAAAAGAGGCCTTGAACTATCAAACTATAATACATAAATAAAAGTTTCACGAAAATTGTATTTGATGTAATTACCATAATAACATAATACATAGTAAGGCACAAAAGTATAGTAGAGCCCGTTATTTCTACTAATAATATATATCGCATAGTTTCCTCTACTTGTTTTAGGAAACTGTAAATAAACATGATTTATCCATTAAATGATTATAATTTTTATGCAGTCTTGTGTTTACAGTGTTGTATTAGAATGTAATATATTTAATGAAATAGTAAAATAATTAAAATAACAGTCTAATATCTTATATGATTATTATGGTTTATTATAGATTTGCAACGTTAATCTAAATATTCTGTTGCATTTTCTTTAATAGTTATAATTCGAAAAAAATTATCACAGTTATAATAACGCGCGATATAATATATATATATATATATATATATATACATATAATAAATCTATTATATCAGTTCCATTAAAAAATTATTCGTTTATAATGAAAGTAATAAAACAATTACATATAAAAATCTTCTCTATTACTTATTATCATAGACTTACGTTTTCACTTTTATCTGATGTTCGACGATATCAGCCAACAATATTGCGACAGGTCGATCCTCAGGCTCTGGTATATTATTAAGATGCTTGAATTTGACGATTAAAATGTTTAGTTGTCCGCAAATGTGCATGACGAAAAATGCAGCCAATCCGGCTGCACCGACTGTTACCGAGTAGGTGATCAGTCCAGCAAAGAATTGCAAAGTGAAAACGATTTCGTATGCTGGCGACGCCTGTTCATCGAACTTGATGAAATAGCTCGGACATGCCAACGCTCTTACTGTGGTGTTCATTGGTGTGAGCATACGACCTTTTGAAAGCGGTACGAGTGTGCGGTAAGATAATCCACCAACGTACATGAAGACGGCAGAAATAATCGCGAACCTTCGACCTATTTTTGCCTTGGATAGCATTATTTTTCGATTTTTCCAATCAACTGTATCCCTCCAGTCATGTAGCGCCTGCTTCAGGCAAGATTGAATCTCTCTCGCATGATACATGAGCAGACTATACTTCAAGCAACCCATCCCACAATTCAGAAGCGGTCCGAGCAATCTCACTCTACGTTTAAAGTCGTGTTCCTTTAGGAATATTAATAGAAGACTCGGCACGATAATAAACGTGAATAAAAAATAACAAGAGACATTTTGTAAGCGAGTCGCGATTTTTTCCATGTTGGAAGCGTTACTGGGAATTGGCCACACACCGATCATTCGCAAAACGTTGCGAGTCACTTGCACTGCGTAATTGAAATCATTTTTGTATTTACTTTTCGACGAGTCTGCCATAATTGATTTTATTTAACGTACTTCCTTCTATTTTTGATTTGAAATTTAACACAATGGAATTCGTAACCGCGATTTTTGTACCGGTCTCGTACTTTCCCGGACGCTGAATTTCCGTTAATTCCGTTAATAGGATTTCCGGATTTCGTGTTTACGAGTGACAGATGGTTATACCGGACCAGAAGCTCGATCATGACTGGACACATGTATGTGATAATGGGTAGTTTCTCTTTCAACGGTAAGAACAGAATGAGTACCGCGCTTGCGTGCATAAAACGTCTGCGCGTGATGAGTGTTACACGAAAAGGGTTGGCGAATTATACGTGCCTAATTCTTGAATAAATGCTAGTGCGACAGAAGGATGTATACGTTGCATGACATACAATTTTATAAAGTTTCGAGTTATAACAGGATGTATTTACTACCTGGAAAACCTACAAATCTTAGAATTTTCAAGGGATTTCGTTTTACCCTTAAAAATAAGGGATTTTCATGGAATTTAATTAAAACTCTGGAAATTTTTGAAATTTTACTTTTAAATTTAAATTTTGTTTCTTTCTAGAATTATATTTTTAAATTACTTTTTTCTTAATAATGCAGAATGTTGATAATTGGCAATAAGTAGGACATGCACATCGGTGTATATTTACGTACATTTTTTTATGTCTCGTAAATTAAAAAAAAAATCAAAACTATATTATCATAAAAAATTCAGCAAACCGAATAATTCATTGATATTATATTTTAGGACGTTCTGCTTATACTGTACTATAGATTTCGTGGCATCAATTATAGAAAATGATAGGTATAGTTAAAATTGTATCTATTGTGAAATCTCTTTCTTGTATTAATTTTCAACATATTATATTATATTTTATTTTCATTGCTTGCATTGCAATTACACTTTTTTATTTCTAAATTGCATTGAAAAATTCTGTAATCGTTCATCTAATCTCGAACAAAAATACTTGAAAAATCCAAAAAGAATTAAGAAATTTTTTTACAAGCTTTTAGTAACACGTTTTACATGCTGGAAGGAATAATTTGTGCTGCATATTGCTATGTAAGTATAATTTATATAAACATCACATAATTAAAATATTATAATTTACACATATGTATTATCCAACAATTTTTTGAAGAATCCGTTATTAGTACTAAATATTACATACTCCAATTTTTGTTCCAAGCGCAAGATTTGTAATAAACGCATTAAAAGTTCATAGCTATTTAATGTAAAATTTAATGTTATTAAATGATTACACTATAATTCAAATTGTATTTTCTCAAATAATAAACGTCTGTAGCATGTTCAAATAAGCGACAAATGATTTTATAATCTATTGTTTTTAAATTAATTGCGTTATGTTATAATATCTGTAATTAAATCGATATCTATTTTGATCGTAAAATGTAGCAAATTTTTTATTTCATGTTATTACATGTTTTTTAAATAAAAAATTAAACTATCGAGTCAATTTCAAAAATATTAATATAAAATTTATATATAAAAAAAATTCCAATTTAAAAAAAAATATTTATACTTGGATATAACTTATTAGGTGTTGGAATTAATTCGTAGCGTTTTTTAATGAAAGAATGTTATTTATTTCACATGAGCATTAAAAAATACATTAATGAAAGTACTTCCCATCACTTGTAAAACGCTACGAATTAATTCCAACACCTAATACATTATCGAAACTAATAGACAATTCGATTATATTAGGTGTTGGAATTAATTCGTAGCGTTTTTTAATGAAAGAATGTTATTTATTTCACATGAGCATTAAAAAATACATTAATGAAAGTACTTCCCATCACTTGTAAAACGCTACGAATTAATTCCAACACCTAATACATTATCGAAACTAATAGACAATTCGATTATATTTCCAACACCAATTCTGGACTGGAATACAGTTTACCAAGATGACAGCAAGACTTTTTTCGAAAGTAGTACCAGTCAATCATGTATGAGCTCTTACGTACTTCTATAATCTATCAAAAGATTTCTGCTATAGAAGATTATCACATAAAGTTTTTAAACCATTATATATCACCATTTGAAAGATTTGCACATTATATTACGTTGAAAAATGATAAATGTATTTGTTCCATTGCAAATTCGCCTATATAACAAAATATGAATATGTTAAACGTAAATAAATTGAGAAATATCAAATATGTTAGACACTTGTACAAATTGCTTAAAATTCCCATTTTCATAATATATAATATTTATGATTGACAAATAAAAGACATTTAAAAAAGTAATAATTCTTTGATACATTATTAATTGGTATTGACATATTATTAAAAACATAATAATTTATGAATTTATTGCATTATATATATGAAATTAAATTTATTATATTAAATAGATATATATAGATATATTAATAATATCCAGGATAACATGTTCAACATATGTCCCACACTTTCACTAGAGAAACGTTATGTAACAATTCCTCGATTAGAGATACGAAGCAAAAACGCGTGGCACGACCCAACAAACATGACTTGGTACTGTTATATAATTTTTTTGTCATTATTCAGACATCTGTTTCATAACAAGACAGCTTTATGGCGTAAACGAGATATTCTGATATAAATATGATAATTTTGTTACATGTCTTTGTTATATATTTAGCACATAACATAATTATGTAAATTAAATTACCATATATCATTCTATGAATGAGACATAACAAATACAAAATACATTTACATTACTAAACCATAATGGAAAGAGATGTAAATAATACATGTTTTGGTTACATCTGCAGAAATGTATACTATAGTCTGTAACAGTTATATCACTAAAATTATGAGATTGTACTTTCCTAAAAAATTACATCATTACGATGTAACATAATTTCATTAATTATACGTCGCTTTTTCAGTATTTGAGTATATTTCATTATATTTGTTTTTGCACTTTAAGAGAACTCTGTTATATAAACATATTAAGGGACAACAAATGTGATAAATTGATAAGAAAACAATCGATCAATAAGTACTATTACAAATTATTTCTCACATTATTCATCAATATAACAAATAATCAAAATAATCAATCGCTAACAAATAAAGTCTATCCAAAAGATAAGTTAGGTTCTATATAGTTTACTTTTACTATCAGTTAATTATTTTTATGTAATTAGATAATAATATATATTGTCGTGTAGATTTTTCCTTTATAGATACAAAAATATGAAGAATAAGTATTTAACATGGATAAATCATTATCACTTTCTAACTAAGTGAATAAATACCATATTATTTCGTTTCTATGTAATTTCTTCAAATTATTGTTACTAGGCTACTGTTCTAGGGATCTTAGGTTCAAATCTTGGCGGCGATGCGATGCGTTTTTTTAATAATTAATTGTAGTTAAGAAGACAAGAATATAGGTATGCGAAACAATAAATAATAAATTGAACTGAAAAAACAAAAAAAAAAGTAAATAATAACAAAAAAATTATTTTTTTCATTTCAAGATATAATCGTAATCTTTTTATTGTAAAAAATAGTTTTTATTTAAGAAACTTTCTTGTTACATACAAAAAATATATTTCTTTCATTTAAAAAAAGAGTTGCAAAACTACATAAATTATTTTTTTAATTCTAATAGCAAGAAATAACTAAAACACTACTTCAAATCAAAGAAATTGAGTCGGTGTCAATAAGTAACAAATAAATAACAATTTCATCTATTTGTGATGTCACAGTGGTAAATTTTGCATTGCATAAATGTTATATATGCATTTCATCTCAATACATAATTGTTTTATGTCAATTCTGTCGCCATTTCGTATTTAAATCATATCACTGTTATGTAACTACTATAGATGAAATGGGACGACAAATTTGAGAACATTCTCCGCAAATTCACGTAACTTTTGACGTCACTGTTACGATCCAAAAAATTAAGATTATGTATGAGTTACGAGTTTGAGATGTATTTTGCTGGAGAGTAATCGCGAATTTTTTCTTTATAAAATTTATAAGTATATATGTTGCGGCAAATTTTTACATACATATTCTTTTTTATCTACAAAGTTTTGTTTATTAATTATTTAAATTTACTGTCTAATATATGTCGTATTTATGCACAGTAATTAATTGCCGACATAATTTAATTTCTGATATTTCAACTGTTGACAAATAATACACACATAATGTCTCAACACGTTCAAAATTATACTTACTTCATATGTAAATCTTATCAATCTCTTATTTGTGATGTCGTTAATGCCCTGTAGATTAAATGGCCAACTAGATGGTTTCAAGATATAAACACCTGCAGATATCCATGCATTTCAAAGAGAGCTGCCAAATCACATGTGGCCATGATGTTGTAGGTAAAGTTGGAAAATAGCTAGATGAAATAAAAGATTTTGTTGCACTTCTAGTGGATCTGGTAGTTATTGTAATTCTGGTTATACGACCCAAGTTTGCGAAGATCTAGATAACAAGATAGACTTTCAATTGCAGCACGAGCGATACTAATATGTACTGATAGTTGCAAAGCTTTAAACTCGTCTTTGCAATGATTTGCGCTTGCGCCACTTTGTATATTCTCCATGGAAAAAAATGGATTTACGTAGAAATGTGGTCTAAATGAGTAACAAAAAACTTTGCACGATTATCGAAAATGATATGATGCTTTGAGAGCCGTTCTGTTACTTGAAAGGTGCATTTTATAATAGCTCTCATGATAGGGAGACACAGACACTGTTAGGGAGATATAATGTTATATTTAGATTGGATTTGTTCTCAATTGTTTCAGAAAATTATAAAAAAAGATAAAATATGCGCAAGTTGATGAATGGTTTGATTTTTGCAATGTGTTAAAGAAAATATTACATAAAGTGTGAAAATACTACAAAAAAGTGAATTTGAGGTATTTCGCGATACGGATTTAAAAAAGATCTTTAAATAATATTTCGTATAATGTTATATATACATACATACACACACAAGGTATACAATTTTTTTTAGTAATTTGATTAATAATGAAAATTTGAATTATATTTCTTATATAAGCGAAGAGATATCAGATTTTGGGAAGGTAAAAATCTGGAGATTATAGACGAAATTAAATGTACATGGGTACTATTTAACGTTTCGAAAATAATCACAAATTTTTGTTCTCCATAATATGACATGTTTTTTCGTACAAAATATGATGTAATATT